AGGCAATTTGACTGCGAGACAGTTTTCCCTTACGTATAGAACGTTCGAAAGTTGTTTCAAATTGTATATTATCATTATACAGTGTGTCCCGAAATTAGCCGCTCTGCGGCTTCTACGACAAAAAATAGGAGAAGAAGTTCCAATGGAGATGAGTTGAAAAATATCTCTCAAGGAAGCTACGGCCCCCTGAAAGGGGGCTCCTGAAGATGAAATTTCTTGAATATTTCCAAAACGCCATGTATTGTGATGAGATGTGTTAGCAATTCATATGTACTTACTTCCGAATAACAAAACAGTTGTTGTTTCCATGGATGATTGTCGGCATTTATAGTGGATCTCACGTTGGTATGTGTGGTATGATCAATTGACCATCGAACCTCATAAGAGGTTCATCAGCCCTTGATCAGCTGGCGCTACTAGAACTTGTGAGGTCTATGTCAATGTCAAAATTTCTCAAATTTTACGAGATAGCCCTGATAGCTGTCCAACCAACCTTAACATGGAGTTTTAGTGGCGCAATCTGGATATACAGAATATATAAACTCTCATTGGTGTCCGGCCGAGGCTACAATAGTTGAAATTTCTAATTTTATGAATTGATCATTCTAGAACACGTGATTTTGACATGGTTTCTTGAGGGGCACACAAACTATCTGTTATTTACCTTTGATGAGCATAGCCCTGGCCAAGGCCCTGGCCATCCCTGCCACATCCACAATATAATAACAGTTTCACCAAACAAAATTATGAAATTCTTTCTGGTTCCAACTCGGATTCCAAGGAAAACGATCCCACCAATTCTGGTTTTATATGACAAATCTTGACAAAATACAATACTTGCCCCACAGCAAACTGTCAAATGACGTAATCCTGGAATGATTAATACGAATTCTATGCTCTTCCTTCCAAAAACTCGAAACTGGGTTCGTGTTTTCAATAATGAAACCATATTTTTTTATTCAAACTGTCATATTTCAATGTTGATCGCTTAAATATCCATCGCTATTCTATCATTATTTCAGGTTTCATGTTCAATTTGTTTCATCGGACGTTCGTCGACATACCTCATTTCTTGGTCGATGACTTGACAGCATATTCGAAATTTACTGGTAAATTAAAAGTGAAGTGATGTATGAAGTGTTTAGATGAAACACATACCTGTCGCTATTTCGTTTTCGAGAATATTACGGCAAATTAGTCTTTGATAAAATTAGAGATATACCTGGAATTGATCTAATCGAACAGGTGCATATTCATTGCGAGCAGTAGCATTGAAAGTGATGGAAAAAATTCTAAATTTTCATTCCATGTGAACGATTCAAAACGTTAGTTGTTCATGACCCAATGAATGAATTACATAATATGAAGATGGTGTAGACAGGTATACAGGGTGTTTCGAAAAAACCTAAGCCCCTTGCTAGGGTAGGTAGAGCCCTGCAAAATAAGTTGGGTTTGCTCAGTGAAAAAATGTCGTAACGGCATTCGTTTTCATGATACAAGGTGTTGAAAAATTGATTTTTTTACACATTCTTCACGATTATGTTGAAACTACTGGCAACATTGTGATGAAATTTTGTATGAATGTTTCTTGAAATCTGACACATCACATGAATTTGTTTTTATATCTGACTCTCATAGAGGGCGCTAGTTACAGTGTTCGTACCGAGTAGTTTAGAACGTAACTTTTTTGAGGTTATATTTCATCATATGTCCTACGTTTCGAAGGAAAAACGATTCTATATTCTTTTCTTAAGAATATACTATTCTTCTTAACAGTCGAGGATCAGCTGTTAGGTCATTCTACTGATGTTCAATTATGCCAAAGATTACTGAAGATTACTGAATTCTAGAAGATAGTTCACTTAGTGAAATCCGTTTGTCGGTACAGCCCAACATTGCATTTTTTGCTTTTCTATAAATCATTGCACCGCCAAACGGTTGCGGTCGGTTGACAGCTAATTAGATTGCGATTTCAAAGGCCCCGGCAGTCGTTAGCCGGCAGAATCCAGCGGTCGGCTAGGTTGCGGCGAGATCTCTTAGAAGTCGAAAAATGAACGAGTGAACTGTCTTATAGTTTATCTTCTGAATTTACCTTTGTAGCATAGACTTTCTGCTCAATATACAACAAAACTGTGTAATCCATGTTCTCAGTCAAATCTGTTTCGATTTTATTCTTGTGATTCATTGTTAAATCAATAAGTTCAGCATCAGAAATGTATTGTTGTTTTCGGTTTTCAATAAATAGGTGATGATTGTTCATAATACTCACTCTAATACATAGCTTTATACCAGCAACAGTTATCACTTCATCGTTAACAGATCGAAATATTCCGAATACGGGACACCAGTATCGAGTTTTACCAAGAGTACCTTTTTGGTATGGAATTGAATGATGTTCAATTTCACATCAAGTTTGGATTGAAAAATCTAACCTCAAAAACGTTATGTTCAAAACTACTCTGTACGAACCGTCTTGAGAGTCAGATATATAAACAAATGCATGCAATGTGTCAGATTCCAAGAAATATCCATACAACATTCCACTACAATGTTGCCAGTAGTTTCGACATAATCTTGAAAACTGTGGAAAAAAATCATTTCTTCAACACCTTGTATCTTGATAACGGATGCAGTTACGAAATTTTTTTACTGAGTAAACCCAACTTATTTTGCAGTGTTCTACCTACCCCAGAAAAAGGGGTCAGGTTTTTTTGAAACACCCTGTTTATCTCTTTTGAAAATATAGTAGTTACCTATATCTGATAGTCTTGTGATAACAACAGTAATTATTATTTACCCTTATCAGGAAATCACGACGAGATAATGTGATATAGGTAAGTTCTTTCATTATATGACATTCGAAGAATCGCCAAAGCATGGTTATTACTTGACAGTCGCAGATGAGAAAAATATCTTTCCTTCCAAAGGAGTACGATGAGATTGATATGCTTGCCAATTCGTAACTATACCATAATTGAAACTGAGACTCTTATCAACACAACACAACAAGATATGAAAGTACGTGAGGGAAGCCCAATCACTTATGTCGATACAACAACAATTAACAAATACAAATGAATCTTGTCTTATCGGCCCAAGGAAAAAGTGAATACTGTTCTCATGAAAAGCATAAAAAATTGGATATCACATGGATATTCTTCACAGGATATCCTACGGACATCCAATCCAACTCCGCGAGTGCCAAATTTGAAGTAAACTGTAAATAAAATACCGAATAAGAGATTCTTACAGGAACTAATTCCTGAATTTCAATTTTGATATTTCTGAATGTACACGTTTACAAATTCTTCAGACGAGATTCGCTATGACCTGCCAATATAATGTGAGTGAGGCACTGATGTCGCGTTGCTTTGTTTTTCAGCATTCATTGAGTTATTTAGTTTGTATGATTTTGACCAGTCATTTTCGAAGTTTCATAATCAAAATTGATCAAACACATGCTTTCTATCTTGTGGACGATTTCATCCCCAGTCCCAGTCATACATTCAGTACTATATAACACACTGGACAAACAATTAATATGTCCATTCACCACCAAAATATATTCTACAGACACCCTCAGAAAACCAACCATGCTATTTCATGAACGTACAGGTTAGTGCTTCAAGGATATCCATTATACGTCCATGGGATATCCTCGGAAAAAGGCCGTCCATGGCTGTCTTATGTTGTATTTGATCATGGAATAGGGATGTCTATCCTGAGGGAGCTTGAAAAGTGGAAATGAGAAAGTGTCTTTTGTTTTCCTATATCTCTTCAGAAAAAAATAAAAATGATAGATATCCCTATCTTGGACACAGTGTATAAGACGCGATTGAAATTTATCAAAGAAATTGCTTATTCGAAGTTTGAGAGGACTGAAGTCATCATTGTCTATCTATCTGTATAATGTATTGAAACACATAGAAGGTATAGAAACCATTATTTTTTCATTAATTACTGAAGGAACATAGGAACATGATGTTCATTCGAAACAAATCCACTCTTCTGGACACTTTCCAAGTCCTAATTTTATCACAGACATTTCATAATTTTCACAAATGGCTGCGAAACAGGTTAACGAGAAAACGAAATATATAATTTAATTTCGTTCGAGATTTAGTTGATACCTATCAATTATCATAATTATCGGTTTTGCATTGCTAACTATCTGTTATGTTGATGGCTCAATTGAAACATAATGATCAATTATAATTGGAATGTATGGACGAATCGAAAGAAACATCAGACAATCAATGATGTATGAGGACAGAGAACAGGTGACATAGTTTTATGAAAGCTCACAAGCAAGCAGTTATTGATACGCTTTCTAGATATGATTTTTAGTAAATGCATACACGACGATATTTCATTCATCATGCTCTCTAATCCATTCAACATTGTAGATAAAGAATCACAAACCTCTTTGAAGCAAAAATCCCTTTGCCAATACAAGGGATGAATCAATTTCATGCAATAAGCTACTTTTAATTTGTCCTCTATTTCTGCTAAGGGCTCTGCTAACTCTCTTTGCATATTTGCAATGTTTTCCTCGGCAACAATTTCTAGGACCTACGTAATTATATCAATTGCCGAATTAAATCGATAATACATGAGTTTCATATGATAGAATACATAGTTGTACTGAGTTTTATATGGATGGGGACGACTCCTCTGTTTTTGTGTGATACCTATCATACATATATTCGTTTCTCGAGAAAAATAAACAGTGGGTGTGATCTAATTCGTAATCCTCTAGACGGTGCAGCGTAACCTAAATTTAAAATTTAATTTTAGAATCAAACAACTTTGAATGGTAGATTCCAACTATTGCGTCGATGTTGAAAAAAACGGAACAAATTATGATAACGTCACAAATTCACACTATGTTCGTGATTAATGAAAGCAAACGCATATTCATTATTTAAAAAACGGTTTATTAGTAGAAACACTTCAACAAATATCAAAGACATTCCATAGCTAATTCATACGTGACTCACCCTCTGAATCTATGAACTCTAGTAGATGTTTCGGCAATTCAGTAGCGTCCTTCAGTTTCTCCCCATCAATAACCAGTACTGGGTCTCTATCCTCTTCACACACAAGGCTTCTCTCTTTCTCCAAACTCTTCACTTTCTCTAACTTCCCTTCTTTCTGCTTCTGCTTCACCTTGCTCATGAATTCGTCTTCTAATTGAATTGGGTGTATAATTTCCTTGAGATTAGCCTTTTCGTTCTCTTGACTCAAGTCCTTGGATGAAGTTACTTTTATGATTTTGTGTTGTTTTCTTTCTTCTCTCTCAGCAAATTTATCCATATACTCCTCGTACATCTGCTGCCTGAATGTTTCAGTTGGTGCGATGGGCAATGATAACCTCTTCTTCGACTCAGCAAAGTCACCTTTTCGAGAAAAATGGTAATCCTCAGCGTGAAATTCTCTCGAATCGGATAACTCCGCGTTAAGTTTCCTTTTTTCTTCCTCGAGTGCTTCTAGTTGCTTCTGAATCTCCCTCTCCTTCTCTTGCAGATAATACATTTGTTTTTCGAAAAGTTCCTGAGGTAGAGACGATCGTCTACTGGGTTGTTGATGCATGTTGAAATAATTTCTGAGGCTATTCTCAGGAATATCGTTGCTTAGATTACTTTCGCTCATGCTTCTTTTTCTAGCTATATTGAGCCACTCTGATAAGTCCTTTGCTTCCAGCCTTGCGTTGTCTACGCTCCTTGGTAGTCTTGGTGCCTTTTCTTCGAAATACAAATAATTTTTATCATCATTCACAAGGGAAGGTTCTTCTCGAATCATAGTCAAAAGTCTGTTCGAATTCTTGCCGCCGATACTTGTGATGGAAATTTCTTCCCGAGTTTCTCTCTTGATTTCTTCATGTGTGATTTTTCTATTCATAAACTTCCCATGTAGGTCTAAGAGGGTGCTAGCTTCGTCTGGTATTTTTTTGGATTTCTCAAGTTCAACTTTCTGTTTTGGTGATAGATAGGCTAATAAATTTGGGTCCTTCTCATTTGCTAAGCCAATCCATTCTCCAGATACAGGTTTATGGTTTTCCCTGCTCAGTGACATTTTAGAATTGGTATTTATTGATTTTTTACTACCCACCCACTCCTTTTTATCAACTTCCGTTTCTTTTGCAATGCCGTTCGCTTCTATTTCAGAAGGATTTTTTCTTTCCTCAACTTTCCAATCCTTTCGAATTGATATAACAAATTCTTTCTTCTCAACTGATTCAGTGTTATGAGTACTTGCGACTGGTAAATCAGTCTCTTGTTCCTGATAACTATGTTTATCCTCTTTGTCAAAATGAACCCTGACTGGGGTAGTTATTTGAATTTCAGCACCATCAGACACAACAGGAAAATCCAAACTTCTAATTATTCCACTGCGATCCACATAATTACTATCAAGCTTCGCTTCTTTCCACTCTTTATATACAGGACCCTCTTTCACTTGTTTTTTGTCCACAGATAAATGATTTTGAGGATTTTGGACTGAAAGGTGATAAGAAAGATTATTAGCATCAGCATTTGCTCTATTTACACTCTGTGCTATATTAGGTACTATTTCAGGAAGGACAGTGCTAGGAAGGGAACTGGTATAGGAATCGATTCGTTTGGACACCTCTGCTAGTTCCTGGAGTACTTCTCTGCCAAAAGGTAGTCTCAATAGAAATTTCAAACAGAGCTCCCTCAGAGTCAGGGGTTGGGTGTACTTTGAATTATCTCCTTCTTTTAACAGCGATGTTACATCAGTTATGGAAGAATTGGAAGGATTATACATGGCTGTGCACAGGGAACTTCCTCTACTGGAGCTTCTACTGCTTGATGAAGATTTGGTAGGTAGTGGAGGAGTGCTAACCACGTCGGAACATATCACAGGAGTGTCTGAGTGCAATGAAATACCATAGGAGTAGATATTTGTATCTAAGGATTCCTCTGATTCATCAGCTAGTTTTTCAATAGTATTAACCTCATTTGCCTCCCTGTAATCTTGGACGGTGTTTTTATATTTCGGTGATAGATTTTCTGGAGTGGGTGGAGGTGTGAGTTGAGATAGAAGACAATTTTCTGCAATGTTCTTATCTACATCGCTATATGTTATGTGTCTTTTCACTTCAAAACAGTACCTACTCGAATGCTCTTCATCTAATGTTTCTCTATTTACTGATGATGCTTCGTGAATTATTGATTCATTATTCATTTCGTAGTTTCTATCACTATTTATTTCAATCATACGAGTAGGTTCACTAATTGCCTTAGGAATTATAGCTCTTTCGAAATCTGATTTGTCACTTTCCATACTATCAATTTCTTCTGAGGAATCTGTTTCTGATGAAGTCAAATAAACTACCTCAGCAATCGATTCAGTAGCTTCTTTTGTTTTCACAGCAGTGAATACCCCATCTGTTTGGGGGGAAGTATCTATTATCTTTGTGTCCACTAGAATAGCTGGGGATTGTTCCATTGCAGGTGGAAATCTCTTCGGAAGAGCTTTTTTCCTCTCACGATTTAGCCTTGGAGGTGGCTCCTCTAACTCAGGAGTACCCTGTTTCAAGTTCTTCGTTAGACTCGGTTGTTCTCTGTCACTATCTAAGTCACTCGTTTCTTCACTTATCACGTCCAGATACCTGGGGTTTTGACAGATTGGGAGAAAATATAGTTCCAAATCTGCCTTTTTCCTCGCCTTACGCTGTTTCACATCATCTATGACGTAACTTGTTTGGTTTGCAGCTTCTTCAGGACCTGAAACGAGGTGGAGGCTCTCCAGAAAATTCCGCAAAGTTTCTTCCTCTTCAGGGGATATCAGTGTTGATTGCTCGGTACTATAACCTTCTAATGGTAGCGTAAGAGTACTTAAAGTGCCTTGAAGTGTTGCTGGTGTTGCAAGGTCGAAAGTCCCATCCCATTCAGCTTCACTTTCTGAAGCTTCCGATACAATTGGATTCGTTTCTTTTCCTTTATCTTCCGATTCACTAGCTTCTGAAAGCTCTTGAATTTTCAACAAGTCATCATCATCCAAACTTTTACTCTTCACTGGCTTCGTTATTTTTCTAGAGAATTCGCCAGGTGAGTGAACGACATATTCTTCTTTAACTTTCTTTGCCGCTACGTCTGGATAGCTACAATCTTTATCACATGTATTCGTGATTGTTTGGATTTCAGTGATATTTTCGTTTATCTTACGATTTTTTCGACGCTGTCTCCTCTTTTTTGACCTTGAACTCACAGCATTATCGTTCATGTTATGTTTGTTGTTATGTTTATGTTTCTGTTGGCTCTCTTGATGGCAGCTAGATTTGCCTGCATGTGAATTTGAATGTCATCATGGGGATGTTTGGGTTGATAAGGTAAACATTGATGAGGGAGAGTGAATTAGCAAAGGGAATACTGATGAGAAAACTGTTACCGAATTCTGTTGAACACTTTTATCGAGATCAGATCAGATTTGAATACAATCTTATCTTTTCAGCACAATGTGGATGTGGAATACATTTGAAATCAGGTACCTACCTATCTGATGCTCATCTTGCACACATATAGGCATTTTCAATCAGAAGTGATGTTACTAATGATAATAAGGTACCTATTGAATATATCAACATTCCAATACAGAATTGATAAAAAATATAGAATTCCAATGGATATAAGTCATTTTCCTTCTCTGTGAATTATCGCATTTATTTATTTATATAATGATTATTTTAAAGATATGTATTCAGAGAATACATACATGCAATTTTTTAAATGAACATATTGAAAATCATCGATCGAATATCAACTTGAAATTTGTCTTCAGTGATACAGAAAATAGGTGAAGTATCTGCACCCAATATGAGGGGTGAATCTCCTTGGAAGTCTGGTGTACACTCCGTTGGAAGTCTTTGGAATTCTTTGGATGTCTTTGGGAGTCTTTGGGAGTCTTTGGAAGTCTTTGGAAGACTTTGGTAGTCTTTGGATGTCTCTGGAAGTCTTTGGATGTCTTTGAAAGTCTTTGGATGTCTTTGAAAGTCTTTGGAAGTCTTTGGTAGTCTTCGGAAGGTATTTGGAAATCTTTGGATGTATTTGGAAGTCTTTAGAAGTCTATGTTAATTGGAAGACTGGTGTGCACATTTTTCCTGGAGATTTACCCCTTGCCCAATATGGTCAATTATACCGGGTGTTTCCGAACTGGACATCTTAGTTTCTGTGATTTCCAAACGTCAATAATCGCGATTTGGCAATGGTTTCTGTTTGAGATGGAAATATGTTTTAGAAGTCACTATACCAAGTCATATTCCCAATTGGAAATAACTACAAAGTGTCTATATATAAACAAACTCACAAGGACTGTAACCTTGACAAACCAGCAAACATAATTTTAATCTAGAATCTCATTACGGGTAATAATTCGGTAACAGTATAATCAGTAAGGTTTTTAGGAAAAGCTAAATAGCAGTAGTTTAGTTTTTAGTAGCGCACACACACACACACACAACATTTAGCACCTAAATCACTAGTCACGAGCCGGTTTTAGGAAGTACCATCGAAAAGCCGCCGTTTCAGATGTCTCAGTACTTGACACACTAGATATTAGACGGATATCGCTCACTATAGGAGCAACGTGCAAATTGTCTAATTCATTTTTCAGAACATAGGCGTCACATGGCGGTCATACATTATCCAATATCAACGGTGAAAAAATCCGCAACTCACAGGGAGACGAAATATTATGTGAATAATGGTATATTATGTAACAAGTAACAACGTCCTTTTAGCGAGTGTTTAATAAACGAGTGTCTAGAAAAGTTTATGAACGTGGTACATACTATACTTGTCCTACGAACTCATAATTCGACAATATCTATGCAACTGCATGCAACCAATGAGACACGTATAAGTGATATTGGTTGTAGATGTGGCCAGGTTAGGTTAGGATACATGAATGGCTTGCTTACTAACCTTTGTGAATAAAAAGTTTTCATCTGACGTAGGAGATAAAAACTCTTTGATTCGTTGAAGTATCGAAGTTTTCGATTTCGGTTTTTACACAGATTTCTTGGAAATATGCAATTACCTAAATCATTCTCATCGGTTTCACTTTCGTATACTTTTCGCGTACATTTTTGATGATGAATTCTGATACGAACAGAAATTGTTTGGATAATTCTGAATGCAACGAAATGCCGAAATGACAGTTGACAGTTCCTACAATTGATAGACCGGACAGGACAGGACTCAAACGACTGAATGTGTGTTTAAAAAACTTTGTTGCCATAGTAATGAGTTAGAGAAATTGTGTTGCCATAGTAACATGTTCAATTTTTAAATGAATCACAGATCGTCAATCCTCGATTATTCAATCGTTTAGCGTGGTACATATCCGTACGCTGTATGTCATTCTAGTTATGTGAATAGAAAAACAAACATTTCGTTGATTCATCAACTCTATATAAAGAGGCATATCCTATCCACGATTGAATATCTTGTTACCGCAACATAATACTATTGTTATTTTTCAGCTGAAACTTCATTAAATGTAACTCATTATTGATTTTATACAACTTTTCTTCATCTCATGGGGAGCATGAAAAGGAAACCCTATGATGTAGAAGGTGTTGGATTTTTTACGTTTTGGAGAGTTGAGTTCTTAGGAATACTTTCCTGAAGAATATTCTTCAACGAATTCATTGATACCATCACATTTGCCAATATCCCATAGCAGTCGCAGGTACGATTTCAATAACCTGATAAAAAAATTGCCTATATCAGTTGAGACTCTCTCATATTCTTTTGTACTCATTTGAGTAATGGAGAATGAAGATTGTTGTAGGTTTATTCATACCTAATCGTTTGAACATCTCTAATTCTGAGTTAATCTAACCTGGGGCCTTCTGAATGTACATGTGTTGCTGAAACATGAATAGGAGACAATATTATACCTCTATATTGACAGAAAAAAAAAGCAAAAGAATTCCATACTGCAAGATATATGCAACAGAATTGACGCAGACGATGAAGCTGAATGATGATCCCATGATGATTTAGTTGAATATAAAGTTTTTGCTGAGATGTTCTGTTATATTCTCAGTTGATATACAGAGAAGTGCACAAAAAACTGCCAGAACTGTAACTTTTGAATTATTCGAGATAGGGTTTAGAAAACTGATGGGAAGCTAGTATACCAAATTGCTCATTAATTGACGAAAAAAATGTTGTTCCTCCACTTCCGGTTTCACTGGAAACGGCTCCATCTTTTGATTTTTGAATAGGACACCCTGTATTGTATTCCATAATCGGTTAGGGATTGTCATAAAGAATTCATCGATACCGGGTTTGGTCGTTACCACCGATACAACAAGGCCAGCAGACTCTGACGTAAACAGCTCGTGACGTCACTAAGAGAGGCCAGTGTTTTATTTTATCGCTTGTCGACTAACGCGTCAGTTCGTGTTAATTCATCGGTGATTCACGTATGTTTCTGAAACGGTCTCGAATTCTGTTGTTGTTTATTCATCAAAATAATTGGCGAAAAAATTACTGTTTTGTGAAATATTTTGTGTTGTGATCGGCGAAATAATAATGCCTTTCAAGTGTTGTGTTCCCTTCTGTCAGGGGAATTATGTGGGTGGTTCAAAAGTTTATGCTTTTAGTTTCCCGTTGGACGAGGAGCTATCGAAAATGTGGGTATATGCAATTCACCGCGAGGATTTTACTCCATCTAAGTTCAGTAGTAAACAAAGCTGAATTTATAATGATGAATTAATAATAGAAGACAATTACTCTCTCATAAAAAGTATAAGTAGAGGAAAAATAGAAAAGCTTTGATTGTGCAGTTAGTTTTGTATTCGTATATTATAGTCAACAAAATCATCTATGAATTCGAGGAAATTTTCTTGAATGTTCATAATAAACGGGCATTTTTAATTCTCATTCTCAAATTTCTTTCTGAAAACGGTCATTTGCCTTGTGGCAATGAATGCAGAATTCATTCCAATGATCAAATTGCAACTATCATATTAACATGAACTACAAACACTCTACTTGAAAAGGTAAAACTGCATTTATCATGATATTTATCATTAAGATATTTGACTAAAAATTCCAAATTTCACCTTCTTTTTCACCTGTCTTCTGGATGGCATTTAGAACAAATTTCCCTTCGTTTTTCATCATATTGGACAATTTATATATAATTCAACTATAAATATGATTTTCTTGAGATCAATCCATATTTAGTGAAAAGAAGGAAGAATATCATTCAAAATAATGGCGTGTGTAATGTCATTCGAAAGCAATCTATTGACATTTGACATCTCGTATTTTGATTGACTATTGATTAGTTGGTCGTCATCTGGAATGCCTGTTCACTAAATATGAAAAACTCGCCATGAAAATCATATTTCCTGTTGAATTTTCTATATAAAAATGTGCCATCGAAGTACATCATGAGTATATAAAGTGTCCAATGACAAAATAATAGCAAGTAGCTTCAAATGCCCCCAACACAAGGGGAGAAAGAAGGCGAAATTTCGGAGTTTTTCTTGAAATATCTCAATAAATAGTGGTTTGTTCACATTTTCATTATAAAATTCGGTTTATCAGACAAAAATACGTGAGTACCGACAAAAATTTTCAAAAAAAAACCATCGCATGATAAATGCAGTTTTACCCTTAAAAATTACGGTTTCAAGTGTAACGATCCACTTGGGTGAAAAATCCAACAACAGAAAATTGAAAACACTCACTGGTTATTTTTTCAGGTAATAGGAATTCTCCAAGATAAATATAGGTAATTGTAATGTCAATCAGAATAAAATACATTTTCCACAATTTTCTTTCGATCAATCTCACGATAAGTTTATGTTCTGCGGGCCCTGTATAAGTAGGTGTGAAGTTAATACAGGGTATTCAATTTGAAAATCGAAAGTTGGAGTCGTTTCCTGTGAAAATGGAAGTGATAGCAGAAAAATTGTTTCATCAGTTGATGGGCAATTTGGTATCCTTGCTCCCACTTGCTAGTCTTGCTACCCACTAATATTCCAAACCCTATCTCGAATAATTCACTTTTCTGTATGTATACTCAGTCTGAGGAATATTCTTCAGGTTTTTGTGAATGACTTCGAAGGACATCCTATAAAAAAGAAACATACTCCTTTATATTTCAATATCGATATCATTTGTGAGACGCCTATGTTCTGTAGTAAACAATGACGGAGCTAAGCCATATTTCGACTCCTATTTACATAAAATGTTTGCTTACATTATTCACTTGCAGGGAGCGACTTTAAAAAAATGTCATGCTCTTGAAATCACGACATACGTTCCGAACAATCTATAATGAAAAACTTACCGTCTTCTGATAAAATAGAAGGACTCGAAGGACTCAAAGTGCAATTAGTGTAGTAAGATCTTTGAGAGGCTTCAGCATTGTCTGCCGAGGAATATTGAAGATCTCCTGAAACAAATCAGCATCATTTGTATTAAGGATATAATATTATAACAAAAATGTACGATATACAGTCTGCCTGTTCTTCGAGCAAATCTAGCATATGGATTGAATGAAGTTTCACAATTTTGGAGTGATTATTATTTAGTAAGAAATTTGGAACACTATCGAAATATAATCATAGTGAAAATATCAAATAGGAAACTTCTTTCTTGGCTAGTACCACAGAATACTGAATTATCTGTGAAATATTGGAAATAACTAATAAAGAAAAATAAATGAGAAAAATGAACAATAATCATTATTGTTTCCATATCTAACAGCACAATTACTTCCCTGGCTGATACCACAGAATATTGGATAATATCTGTTGCATCGAAGTGTTGAATTGAAAATATGTTTCATGGAAATATTCGTCTCACCGAAAAACAATCATATCCGTGATGCAGATAAAGGCATCTCGAACACACATATCCCAATGATTTTTGACATTTTGACTAACAATCATTTCAAGCTTCTGCTCTCGTTAGAAGGATCATTTCAGATCATAATGAATAGATAACTATTCTTCAATAAATGTTATGAATAATATACTGGGTAATTCAAAATCGAGGGCCACTAGTATGAATTAGGGTGCATTTATGTGACTAACGATGCCGTCAGAAACATTTTCAAATTCCGAGTAGTTTCGGAGATATACGGAAATAGAACAGGCATTTTGGTCAATTGATATTATTTTTTTCTGGTGTTATTTGATGAAGAATAATAATAAATTAATTTTTCGTTGACCTAGAGAGATCTTCCTTTAGAAGTTACCACGATGGAACTTGGAAGGTATTCGATGTGTTTCTTCATTGAATAACTAACTCACGGATTATATCAACTCCAAAGAATTTGATACTGTTTAAATTTGAAAAACAGAAATATTAAAGTTTGCCATTGAATAACTAACACCCCGTATGAGGTATTACGTTGACATTTTTAATGGCGCATTTCAGATATGTCTGAATCTGATAGGGACTACAATTTTTCGAAAAAAATTGCTTACCAGTTGTCTTTGAAATTTGGGCCCATCAATCAAAAGTAGACGTTGATAACGTTGGTATTATAGATTAACCCATTGATAATTCAGAGCTACATTTTTGGAAATGTCGCAGACTGACCTCTGTGAGATGTTACCACCCCGTATATGAGAATCGGAGACGTCAAGTATGACTGACATCCGATCTCAGATTGAAAGTTGGCATTCTAGTCTTTTAATCATCGCCTACCACCGATGGTATTATCGTTCCTGCAACAGCGGCTCAGCTCCCAAAGCCCATCGCCATTTGAGGAATTTCCAGCTCCATCAGATGTGGAGCTTGATTTGGAAGACAGCATGGCGCCCAACGTGGGGCGATGAATTTTCCAGGATTGAAAGAACCGTGCTCACAAAAATCTCCAGCAGAATTCCATGTTCGAAGTTATGAAAAAACTACGTGGTGCCCAAATCAAAACCAGAACCAAATTGGAGTGTTACTCCATCATATACTCACTAGTTCCACTGGAAATTCCACTTCCAACTATTAGGACCATTGTTCAATCCCTCCTAATATATCATTTCAGATTCTGAATCATCAACAGAATTTGTGAACGACATGAAGAATTTCTCTATTTCCAATCAAATTCCAATAGGTAGACAAGTTCCTTTGGCTGCACAGCACTTAAAGGCGAAGCTGAGAGATGTTTCAAGGACAGAATTTTAACTTCGAGATGTTTTGCATTCGGTTACTAGAAAAGTTTGATAATGCTGAAATTTTCTGGTAACTCAGAATCCGTTGCGATATTCCTCACTAACATACAAGCGTTATTTCCCCGACTCGAACCAGATCTGGAATCTGACAAAATTAGTAGTAAAGCACTCGAGCTTCTCCTTCCGCCATTGAGAGTCAACCTCCGTGGAAACAAGTTTGGTGGCATGACGGGATTGATTCAGGCTGCTGCTCTTATGAAATATGGCTTCTTGGACCAGACACTAACAAATAGAAATCTTCTGAATAATGGATCAGCTGATACAAATGAACCAAGATCATCATATAGCTTTTATAGAGGTTGGCATTAAAATAGGGATTGCCCACAATGAAGAGTGCAAGAATCATTTAGGCAGACACAAAATTACCAAAGGCATCAGAGGAAACATTCGGAAAACTCATCCAGGGAAGGTGTGAGCCAGAAAGCCCTACCGTAGGAACTTTAAATTCATCTCAAATTGATCCCTATCTTTCCTAAATATTAGTGAGTATCAATGAACAATCAGTTCTTGCCCTCTTAGACAGTGGAACAAGTCATTCGTTTATTAACTCCAAATTAGTTCGTGAAATACCAATATCGAAATCCACAACAAAAGTACGGCTGGCTAAACCTAGCCTAGTTATCAAAACACTTGGTGGAATAAATATCACAATTCATCTTCTGGAACAGCAGTTCATCGCTGAATTTCGAATTTTGGAATATCTAACAGAAGATTCAATCTCAGGATGTGACTGGTTAACACATAACCACGGAATACTGGACTTCGTGGCAGGATGTGTGTATCTAGGAACACGTAAATGTATTACTGTTTATTGGAATATCAAGGAGAAAAGGGGGAAATCATAAATCAACCCTGTGAATCTACGGCATGATCAACTTCCCATGGAAGCTGTGGAGGAATATATATAATTACTTACTAAATTTTGAATGAACGCTGTGCCAACCAACTCCTCTACGGAGGAGAGACAAATCGTTTACCAGGAGGTGCAAAAAATGCTGATGCACCGGCTAATCGTAATACGCAAGTCCGAATGGTATGACAGCGGTTCTTTTTCAAAAAGGTATGTATGGCAGGGAACCGACCTGTAATATCTCATGCTAGTTCGAAATTCAAGAAGACCGAGAAGAAGTTTCATGTCAATGAGCAGGAGGTACCTAACCTGACCGTTTTGAAGATGACAAGTCTGAATTGACTAGATGGTCCCTTCTCATGTCAATGAGCAGGAAGTACCTTACTTGACCGTTCTGAAGATGAGAAGTCTGAATTGACTAGATGGTCCCTTCTCTTACAAGAATTATCATTCACTGTGGAGCATTGCCTAGGGAAGGATAACCAGTTCGCTGATTTTTTATCACGATATACGTAATCTGAAATAGTCGAATGTGATGGTAGAAATGAATATGATGAGCGGTTGATACCACCTATCATTCCGGAAAGCAAGCATGACAGTATCCTGAGTAAATGCTTATATTTGAATCCAATAGATGTTGGAGACCCTATATATTCAACAGTCAGGAAAGCACGTATAATGCAATACATGAAGATATTCGAATTTGGTAACTGACTAATAATCAGACTCCAGAGGATCTGCGAGGTAGATAACGGAAGTTGAAGCAGTCTCTTCAAGTTCAAGGTGGATTTCTTGTTTATGAGGATGGCGAATAGGTTGACACTGGAAGTTCCACTGAGTTTGCAGGAGAGAGAACTATATGGATACCATGTTGCAAAGATAGCTGAACATCGGGATAGGGACGAAACTTGCAGGGCGATTCGTATAACTTTACATTACCCAGGTACGTGGCAAATTATCCGTAATCAAGTTAGAGTTTGCCTTACATGCGCGTTGGTAAAAGCTGGTGGAAAATAACAACAGGCTCCTTCGAGACCAGGAACATCAACTCAGCCGTGGCAGGCTATAAGCCTAGAACATCAAATGGCAATCAGAACATTAAAGTTGTTACAAATTTATGCTCTAAATGGACCAAGATGTCAGCAATTCGTATTGCTGCTGATGAAATCATTATTCGTTTTCTCAAGCAAGTTTTCGGCAGATGGGGTTATCCAGAATCAACTATCACTGATAATGGACCACAGTTCGAGAGTCATACCTGGAATTCGTCTTTGAAGGGTCTCCATATCAATCATTTTACAAATCCTATCTATCACCGAAGGGCTAACCCTATTGAGAGACGGAACCAAGAGTTGAAAAAGGCATTGAGGATTTAACCTATGATTGAAGACCCAAGTAAATATGGGATATAGATTATTCGGAGATAATGTTCTCAAGTATCTTCAGTTGACTAACGTTACCAACTTTGTTTTGAGTTGATTATTTTTTCGACCTTAGGTTGTGAAACTCCACTTGAATTCGTTAATTGAGAATAAAGCCTTAGTAGGATACGGAATTAGCTGAAATTGAATGAAATATAACTTGCACTCAAGTCAATACAAGGCTATACAAAAGTAGAGCAAAATGTTTACACCGTCTTGGTCATCATACTATTTTAGTCTGGTACGCAACGAATTTCGGTATCAAACCAAGCTGGTATCTTTACCAAGTTTACAGTTTATACCAAACTGACCAAGAGTGTTTAGTCAAAATATAGTCATTAGTCAGCTTACCAACACACGGTATAAACGAGGCCAGTTTGATGGCGGATATCTTGGCAGTGTGGAAGTTTTTAGCAAAATGAAATCATTCGAAAACCCCAATAATTTCAATCTGTCCTATTCACATCTGGGAGATTTCCGAGACACCCTGAATAAAACATAATTGTTTCAGAGTTAAATATTTACCTTCTTTGATAACTGATGGAGAGGAAGAGGAAGATGAAGTTGGCACTTTTGGTCTTTTTGTAACTAGAATATCACTTGCTGGAAGACCTTTCGAAGTACCTGAAAACATATTATTCAAAGTTATAGTCCAAGAGCCGACTGGAATGATATATAATTTTGTCCCAAAGGCGTGACAAAACATTGCATCTTTTCCTATACCAGCGTGAGCAAAATAGTACTTTTGTATATACATTTGCGTGTTCAAAGATACATTTTTTCGCACACGGTGAGGGTAATAATTTTGTCTACTAGCATACGGAAAAGTCCACTTCCCTACACTCATTTTAGTTTTGATAGAGTCACTTTCCTTACTAGTACACTGACATTTGAATATTCAATCTTTCAATAATAATAAATGTGTCTTTATGTAGATTCTCTGGGATTTTTCCGCAAGCTAGTAGCATAAATAGTGCATGCTGTTTTGCTGGCCGAACTCTGCTAAGTGTCGTCTGGCCATCTGCACTCGCGTGCGCAGAAGCATCACTTTCCGTCCTTGTTAGGCAAATTAATATTTACACTGAACCAAAAACTAGCGTGAATATAATATGAAAGTGAATTGTTATGATGGAATTTTTCATTGAAATGGCTTCAACGACGGACTTCACTCTCACAATGTTGAAGCTATGATCCACTCAATTGCTACAATAAACTCTAGTTCGATTATACAATGAACAATGCTTATATGTTCAACGTATCAAGTTCAATAATATCATGGATCGTGATTGTTAATAACATGAAGTAGGTCGATGAAACAATGAACGGTAATTATATGTCCAATGTATCAGGTTTGATGATATCAATAGCTGTGTTCGTTGATTTCATGCAGTATAGGATATAGGTAGATGAGACAACAGGGACTTCAACTGGGATACATTCGCTACTGGGGAAGTGAACAATTTTTCTGATGTTCCGCGAGACACGTCAACGTTTAATAGTGTATTACGTAATATGTGTTGTAAGAAGCATATTACGCACGAATGGAAAAATTACGCACGTAGCTGCGGAGCGGCGAGTGCGTAATTGCTTTACAACACGCATTACGTACTATAATTTACCTATTGCAATAGACAAACAGTCTGAATTATAATTCTTTTAGTTATGTCATCCGCTGTTGACAGCGATTACGCGATGATGACATACCTACCTATATTGGCGGAATCATTGTCTGCTAAATATGGAGAAAAAATCTAGTGAGCTGGAATTACTGGTCTTCCCTATAGCTCAGTTGAGTGTATGACCACTAGAGGATGTTACCGTATCGTACGAAATGATCTTCACTTTTTTCTAAAAAATTTTCGAAATTTGTGGTTATGTAAGTAATAATAATAATAATAATAATAATAATAATAATAATAATAATAATAATCTTTATTTGTAAAAAACAACCAAATACAAACATGAACAACCTGTAAAGGATGTTTGAAACAAACGGGCGTCAACACACAAGTAAACCATTACACAGACGGTTATAGGTATAAGAATTATGCACACATATATCCATTTAGTACAAACAGGTAACGACAAATATGAAAATCATTCGAGTTGTGACTCTAAATAATCATTTATGGAGTATGGCTCTAAATTAATCAATAATTTCCAAATTTCTTGCTTGAAAACATTCGGAGAAGAGACAGATTTAATTCTTACTGGCAACTTGTTGAAGAATTTTAGAGAAGTATATAAAGCATTTCTTTCTGTCACCGCCAGTCTATGCAGTGGATAATCATAGTTTATGTTTCTGGTATTATAAATGTTTTGGGGTGAATACTCTGAAAAAAACTGTTTATTTTTAGCAAAGAATAAGATGCATTCTTGAATATATACTGCACTAACTGTTAGTATTTTTGCAGAACGGAACTTACTCCTACACGATTCCTTATACTTCATATTGTATATTATTCTTAACATTCTTTTTTGAATAATGAATAAGTGCTCTACGCAACTACTGCTGCCATAGAACAATATACCATATCTGAAACATGATTCGAAGTTTGCATGGTACACTACTTTGAGACTAAATTGATTTAAGTATTTGGATAGTATTCTTATCGCATAGCTCACTTTACTCAATTTGTTTGCTAATTCGTTAACATGGATATTCCAATTCAGATAACGGTCTATATTCATACCTAAAAATTTTGTGCTAGGAGCAATTTCTATACTTTGATCATTCAATGTAATGTAACCAGGCACCTCGTAACCGCAATTTTTAGTTGTGAAAAGAACTACATTCGTTTTTTCTTCATTAACGAATTGTTTGTTTTCTGAGAACCAGTTATTTATTTTTTTGAAAACTAAATCAGAATGCTGTAACAAAGATGGTAACTCTTTCTCCTCAATCATGATGTTAGTATCATCAGCATAGTTAACCAATTTACAATCAGAATGGGCTGTCAGGATATCGAACATATCATTCAGATATACTATAAATAAAATAGGACCAGTAATGCTACCCTGGGGCACACCCATGTTGATTTCAGATAGTTGTGATGTGACAGTTTCTTTGTCTTTTTGAATAGAGACTTTTTGTTTTCTATTGAAAAGATATGATTTGAACCACTCTAAAGGCTTGCCTCTTACTCCATATGCCTCCAGTTTGTCCAGTAAGATTTTATGATCTAGGCAATCATACGCTTTTGAAAGATCTAGAAACAGACCTATTGCTACATTTTTGTTCTCTAATGCATTTAGTATATACTGAACAAATTGGAATACAGCTGTTGTCGTTGATTTTCCTTTTTGATACCCATGCTGGGAATTACTCAATAACTCACTCGTCACTAAAAAATTCATGAGGCGGTTACACATTGCTGTTTCAAATAATTTTGAGAAAGAAGGTAAAAGGCTTATAGGTCTATAATTGCAGATTTCACTGGGATCACCCTTCTTTTTATAAATTGGTTTCACTACTGCAATTTTCAAATTTTCAGGAAAGATGCCATATTGAAAAGAATTATTTAAAATGTAAGCTAGAATTTTTGATACATATATTATAATTAATTTTATTATTTTGGTTGGTATTTGATCATCTCCACTGCTCATCTTATTCTTGAAATTTCTCACAATCTCCACTACTTCTATGTCAGTTATTGGTTCTATGAACATCGACTTATCATTACATATAATTCTATTCACAAACTGTATGTTTTGTTTATCTATTCTCTTCTTCAGACTTTCCACGGTATCTGTTAAAAAACTACTATACTCTTCAGCTATGTTTTCTGTTTTGCCTTCTATTTCAATACATGTCTCAGATTTACTAGAACCTTTAATATCTCTCACAATATTCCACATCGTTTTTGACTTATCATCAGAGTTTGCGATTTCATTTTGATATTTTTTAGATCTGCTTTGTAACAATTTTTTGTTATATTCTTTTTTGGTTTGTATGTATTGTTCATAATAGCGCTTATCTCTTTTACTGATTGTAAAAAGAATATCAAGACGATTCTTGCACTCTTTCACTTGGGGGTCATCAATAGGTTTACTTTTTAGAACATTTGATTTGATTTTTTTCACAGGAAAGCATTCATTGAAATCATCAAGAAACATACTTACAAAAAGATTCCACTGTTCATTCACCTGGCTTTCATGTATGTGGTATATACTATCCCACACTTTCATTTTTATGTTGTTTATAAAATTATCAATATTTTTTTGTGAGAAAATTCTTCTAAACACTGAAATACTTTTAGTTTCGTTTTGCCACTGAATTTGTAGTATTTGAGTTGAGTGATCTGAAATGTGAGAGTGCAAGACCTCGCCTTTGACATTTTCTATGTTTGTTAAAAAATTATCTATGCATGATTTAGAATTTTTTGTGATACGAGTATACTCCTCTATTACATGATATATATCAAAAGAGTGGATTAATTCTAGTAAGAGAAATTTTTCCACATTGTTGTCTAAAAAATCTACATTGAAGTCCCCCGCAATAACAGTATTGCATGTTTCATTATTGAACACATTCAAAAGTTCTTCTAGTTTTTCAAGGAAAACTTGAAAAATTCCGGTAGGTGGCCTATATACTGATACAACTATTACTTTACTTGTACTTGTCCTGTGCTTGATTTCAATAGCTGAAAATTCAACATGATCTTCCACGGATAACGATACTGCTTCTCTCCTTTCCTTGCATTTCATTCCTTCTTTCACATATATTGCACATCCTCCATGTCTTCGTACCCCTTCTCTACAGAAGGCGGATTTGAGTTTATAGTTTTTTATAACATGTAATGATAGTTTTTCTTCATCTTTCCAGTGTTCAGTCATGCATAAAACCTGGCAATTACTGATTTTATCCAACACTGCAACTAGGCTATCAATCCCAGTTCCAATGGATTGCATATTTTGATGCACTATAGACAGTGTATTGGCTGTTTCATTTCTCTTTTGGATTGTAGGTTCCATAGAGATTTTCTTCAAAAATCCTCTTCTCTTTTATCATAACGGTTATACTTATTGAAGTCGAACCTTCTGTAGGCTACTGATTTTGGCCAGGTTGAAGGCTTATATATTTCATCTTTTTGATCAAAATCAATCCCGAACATGAAACACTTGTTTTGAGATTCTTGTGTAGGAAGTTCTTTTATTACTATATCTGCATTGCAAAATTGCGGTTTTTTCTTGATGTAGGAACTAATTTGTTCACAAGTAACATGACGTTTTAGACGGTACAGGTACAACCACACTTTTCGTTGGACACCAAAGTCCTCTTCAGTGACATCGTCTCCATAATTTTTCTTCATCTGCCTTGGTCTAGATTTCTTTTTATAGATGACTGTTTTGAAATCATCTTCAGGTTCTTTGAGATCATTCTGCAAATCAATCAGTTCCTTCATTTTGTTCGTTTGTGTTTCTATCAACTGCTCTGTGTTTTTCGATTTTTCATGAATATCTTCATTTTCACTGTTTACAGAAATGGGTGGCAACACTGTGCGTTTGCCTTTGTTTTCATGAGATACAGCTGGACGATGTTTACTTGCTGATTCATTATACAGTTTTTTGCTCACTGGTTTTTCTGTTGATATATTCCTTATCTCCACATTTCTTTGGTCATT